GATGTTGAGCTTCAGACCATTTTTGCACTCTCCTCTTTCACCCTCATTAAGAGGTTCCTTAATTCCTCCTCACTTTCTGCCATCAGAGTGGTATCATCTGCATATCTGAGGTTGTTGATATTTCTTTCGGCAATCTTAATTCCAGTTTGGGATTCCTCCAGTCCGGTCTTTCGCATGATGAATTCTGCATATAAGTGAAATGTCGTACTCCTTTCCCAATTTTGAACCAATCAGTTGTTCCATATCCAGTTCTAACTGTTGCTTCCTGTCCCACATATAGATTTCTGACTAGATAGAGAAGCTGATCAGGCACCCTAAGTTGGGATTCCTCCAGTCCGGCCTTTCGCACTCTAATTTCTTTAATGACTTGCCATTGTTTGCTGTGGTCCACACAGTCAAAGGCTTTTGCATAGTCAATGAAGCAGAAGTAGATGTTTTTCCGGAACTTTCTGCCTTTCTCTATAATCCAGCGCATGTTAGCAATTTGGTCTCCAGTTCCTCTGCCCCTTCAAAATCCAGCTTGTACTTCTGGGAGTTCTCAGTCCACATACTGCTGAAGCCTACCTTGTAGGATTTTGAGCATAACCTTGCTAGCGTGTGAAATGAGTGCAATTGTACGGTAGTTGGAGCATTTTTTGGCACTGCCTTTCTTTGGGATTGGGAGGTAGACTGATCTTTTCCAATCCTCTGGCTACTGCTGGGTTTTTCAGACTTGCTGACATATTGAATGCAGCACCTTAACAGTGTCATCTTTGAAGATTTTAAATAGTTCAACTGGAATGCCATCACCTCCACTGGCCTTGTTGTTAGCAACGCTTTCTAAAGCCCACTTGACTTCACTCTCCAGGATGTCTAGCAAATTTATATGATACTGTGTCACATATAGTTTTAGGTGGTGACCCAGCAGTATGAAAATATATATTTCTCTTATGTACTTTTTGCTTGTTTTAAATGTTTCTTGTTATGAGCGAAAGCCAGTGGAATTAAATGCATAATGTTACTTTCTATAGGCTCAGTAATTTGAAAGGTGCTACATATATGCATGTATGTGTGCACAGGTGCACACGGAGGGAGCTGTGTGTGGCTCGTCTCCCATTACATGTACAAATATTTTTCACCAATAGGTGTAGCTCTCTCCTGTAATGGGTGAAATAGCCTTGACTCAATATTCTTTGTCTGGCACACACAGTGTGTTGCACTCAGCTTGTGGCTCCGAGCTCAGCTTCCCATTTCAAAGCAAATTCAAAGTGATATGAACTCATTTCGGTTTTTCAGAACACATCAAACAGCCTTAGTATGGTAGAAAAGTGGAATTGGAGCTACTGATCAAAGACTTTGAGCAGCACAATCATTTGAGCTAACCCAGTTCCGACGCAAGGATACTCGTCTTTCTTTTCCCGGCAAAAGAAAGCAATTAAAGTTTCTTAAACTAGGGGATCCATTCTTTAATTGGTTGGAAATCACCCTGCCCATATGCACAGAGGGTTGCACATAATTGCCTCCAAAATATGTGCTACCATTATGTGAAATTCCATGGACACCCAAGATTGTACAAAACGGTCTGTATTAACAGCGTATCCTTGCAGTTTGGCTAGTTGGAATCATGTCAGCAGTTTTCATAGAAGCACAGAATAATTGAGTTGGAGGGGGCCTCTAAAGCAATCTAGTCCAACCCCCTCCTCAATGCAGGAATCGAAATCAAAGGAGATCAGACAGATGGCTGTCCCATCTTCTCTTGAATGCCTCCAACACTGGAGCACTCACCACCTCCCGAGGTCATTCTCATACTGCTCTAACAGTTAAGAATTTTCTTTCCTGATATTCAGCCTAAATCTGATTTCCTGTCGCTTGAGTCCATTATCATATGTTCTGTGCTCTGGGATGATCGAGAACAGATCCTACCCCTATCTTTCAAGTATTTGAAAAGTGCTATCATTTCATAACTGTGTTATCCTGTTTTACCAGCCCAAATCCTGTGGCTTGGCACAGTAAATCACCCTAGTGTAGCCCCATTGGATTCAATGGAACTTAAGCAGGAGCGATTGCTTCATCCCCATTGAAGCAATAGACTTACTCTAGGGTGATTTACTGTGCTGAACAGGATTGTACAGTGAAAGAAAGAAAAGAAGAAGAAGCTGTGGCATCTTAAAGACTAATCAATTTATTATGGAGCTTTCACGGATCACAACCCACTTCCTCAAACACAAGGACCCAAAATTCCCGTGACAGTCCTTTTCAAACTATCACCATCATGAAAACTGGATTCACCTTAGAAGCCTAACCCACATAGAAGTGCTAGTAAATAGCAATGGCGGCCATTTTTGCACATTCTCCGCCAGGACGTAAGCCTACACATGTGTCGCGGTAGTTGTGTGGCGGTGGAGATACACTAAATGCACAAACAGCCTGCCCCTTGACTTTTATTCTTGAGTCAAGTGGCATTTATGATGATTTACAGGCGATCCCTCTCCTGCCGTAACTTATTTCTGTAGTGTACGGCTGTGCTGAGCTCCGTTGTGTGAAATGTTATGATTCGTGGCAGTCATGCAGAAAACTCTTCTGTGTTTTTCTTTTCGTTGTGGGAAGGTGAACAGATGCTGCAGCAGTCGCCTGATGAGACAAAGGATTCTGTCTTGAATGAGTTTTGGTCACCCCTGTAAGATAGAAATTCTTCCAGCCACTTTCCCTCAGATCATCTAAAAACCTTTTCCCTTATCGCTCTGCACCAGAGCTGGACAAATACGCACCATCCAGTAGAGCTTGGTATTTGTAGATTTCACACGCCTAGTTTTAAAACATACTGCCCTTCCCCACTCTTTATCAGGTGGGTTTCTGGCAGCTCTCTGGTGGCTCCCGTCTCATGATTTTAATGGTCTTTGGTGAGCTGGACTCTTAATTCTGGCACCGCCTAATTCAAAAAGAGGCGTTCGTTGTGTTTGACCACAGGGAGAGAGGGGAGCGCAGGTTGATAGCATTTGAGAGGTAAAACTGACTGATGGTGTTTCGGACAAAGCAGCCAGTGTGTCATAGCAGAGATCATCCAGCAGACAAATTTAGATGTGAGGTCTTTGCGTGTTATATGGGGGAAATCAGGTTTCAAATATTTGCTTAGCCATGAAGCTTGCTGGATAACTTTGAAGTTCTCCACCTGGATCTCAGAGTTGTTGGTAGATTAAAGGAAGAATTAGGAATGAAACTCTGAGCACCTGGCAGAAAGGACTGGATAAGAGGAAAGGGTGGGGGGGGGACATACATTTTGTAGTAAATATAATAGTAATGTGTT